TGCACTCTCTCCTACATTACTAGTTTTGGCCGAATTTACGACGCTAAACTAAGATTTTACCAAATAGAGACTAGAATCTAACAATGTTTTCATCAGATGCAACCTAGATCTAGCTCGTTTACTTTAGCAGCCATCTTGTTTAAGTTTTTTTTTGGTAAAATTATATTTAGAGATTCAGGGGAAACCACTCTAACTTACAGATGGCTGCTGTTTATATAGTAAATTTTACTCACAAACACTGCTGTTTAAAGTTGATTTCTGGCATATAGGGCCTATTGATATATTTAACCATTGATTTTGGTTTATTATTCAAATATCTATAATTTTGAATAAGACTTGAGTATATATTCAGCAGCCATTTGTAAAATAGAGTGTAAACAATCGACTTCAGTGGACTCAAGGATACTGGATGGAGGGGGAGGGGGGGGGGGGGGGCTCGTGATCATATGGATCTTCTTGAATTTAGCATCGAAGTAATTTGATTTAAAAAAAAAAAACAACACACAACTCGTATGCTGTGTATAAAATTTAAAATTAAGACTGTTCAGTTGGAACTTAAACCACGGAATTTTTTTTTTACCTAAACTTGGGTTATCCATACAATAAACGACAGCACATTCTACCTGCCCCCTCCCAGAGTTTCTTCCAGGCATCTCTTTAGGCAAGTCTACCGCCCCCCCCCCCCGCGAACGAAATGGAATTTATAAATGAAATTTATATGGAATTTATATGTCAGTACCCCTGAAATTAATTGACTCCGCCCCCCCCCCCACCCCCCGAAAATATCAAGTACCCCTTATGGAGAAAAAAAGTCTGGAAGAAACAATGCCCCCTCCTCACCAACGTCACACAAAGCTCGAACCCAACATCTCTAAATTACGTCACACACAGTATACCACCCCTCTCAAAATTGCATTTTTTACAACCGTCTTTTCTCAAATGTTTACTCAGCTCATTACACGTCTTAGCATAAGCTATTGTTCAATTTGTTTTTACAAATTACAAAAAAAAAACGTGAAAAAACAGCTAAAACCAAGCTTACATCAATATTGAAAAGGTGTGTCGCATACACCTAGGTCATCTCTATACAAAGTTTCTATACTGTACTCCTTGTGATTGTCTTGGTGGTAGATGGAACAGACCCACAAAGATTTGATAATCTATATATATAATTCTCTTCTGGAATCAGTTACAAAACAAGCTGCAAGGTCGCCTTTGCAGTCCCCTCTCTTCCTCTCTATCACTACCACCCCCACCCCACCCCCACATGATCTGGTGAGCGGTGTTCACTCTGTTTACATTTTACAATCACAGAGACGGGTTTGGTGACGGCTATTAGGGGCAGATAATTTAGTTTGAAACGATTTTAAACTTAGAGGAGGTAACTAAGAGGAGGCTGCTTTCACGTGGGGGGGGGGGGGGGGGGGGGGTAGTGTTTTTAAGCAAATATTTTCAATGGCAGCATTGGTACTGTCGAATTCACAAATTATTAATTACTGAAAAGTTTGAAAAAAAAAAACTAAATAGCGGCTTATGATACGCAGCGGGTCGGCTCGTTTATTATAATTAAGAGCTTATTGTTATTTGTTAAGGTTGTCAAACGAGTGCTTAAAATGATCTAGTGCTAGTAGGCTATTCCATAACTTATTATTATTAATACTTTAATTAGTTCATTTAAACGAACGAATTAAAAAAAAAAAAGAATCTAACTAAAAGTTTCCCTTTCAAACCTGACAGCCTATGGGGCAAGTGAAGGAGAGTCTACTTGTTTCTGTGACCTCGGCATATGAAGAAATAGTGTGGTCAGCCCTATGCCCAGCCGCCTTTACTTTCCCTAATGTAAGTTAGATACCCATCATAGTTGGGTGGACTTGAACCCGGATTCGAACTCGAGACTTACGGGTTAGCAGTCCAGCACTAGACCGCCAGACTACTCCGTCAACGAAACATCAAATGATTTAGGGGAACTAACTAAGCTAGGGTTTTTTTTGGCAAAAATATTAATTGAGTTGCTTCTTTTTGTTTACTGTTGATTTTTTAATTAAAAAAAATTCTAGCAAATCCATTTTTGTCTTGATTTAAAACACCACATGCTTTCCCATAAAAAAAAGAAATAATTCTTGATCTATTAGATTTAATTTAAAGGATGGCAAAATAGACCAGGAACACCCTGCTGCATAGTTATTATTATTTTGATTACCCTGGACTGCAAAACATCACATTAATAAATGGTAGTTACAGAGGCATAGCGACCCTTCCTGGCCCTCGAGATTTCGATTTGCACCCCCCCCCCCCCACCCCTCAACCTTTCGATTTACACCACCCTCAACCTTTCAATTGATCTTTCCAACCCATTTTGGCGCCCCCCGAAGGTCGGGGCCCGGGGACATATGTACCCCCCTCGCTACGCTACTGGGTAGTTATATTTTATTATTTTTAGCAAATAAAACCAATATTTTTAAATGTTAGGCCTATTCCATTTATTTTTTTACATTTTATTTGAGGACACTATAATATTAAGTAATAAATAAATTATTACATTCATTATATTTATTTTACATTGTCTTCATTGTAAATGCCCACTGGCTTACATATTATTATACAGACTGGAAATTTGATGTAGATAAATTAGATTATTTTTTCTAACAAAATATTATTTTTAAATGTTAGGCTATTCCATTTATATTTAATTTATAATTTTTATATCAGCATTCAACGATCTATCACTTGTAGCTGACGCCAAACACAGATACCCGTATGGTATTGCGCGAATGCTATTTTTAGCAACAGTGCCGAGACGCGGTTGAAAAAAAAACGAACTAAAAAGTGGTCATAAAAAAAGCGGATCAGGGGAGGTAATTCAACTCGCGTTATGAGTCTAGCTCGTTAATGCTGTTGTGTTAGTTAAACATATAGGAATTGTGTGTAAAATTTACGCAGTTACTCAGTTACTACGTAGTACGATATCAATAAATAAAGTAGTATTTATTTCCTTTTAGCAATCTTTTGATACAAAATGTCTAATATTTTATTTTCCAATACATCGTGGTGTGTGGCAGAGTAAACAGAACGGTGTGATAGGTGACCTAGAATCTCCGAGTTCGAATCCGAAGTAAATCAGTTGTGCTTTATTTTATTGTTTCACATAGTGTAACGTTAACCTATCTATCAGCCAAATAGAAGGAGAACGTCCCCGGATTCTTTTTTCGGGGTCATATGCAAATGCCTTACGGCCTAAGTGGATGAACACTTAACACAACGACACACTAGGGCTCGAAATCAATGTCTAGGGAAGCTAGTGATACTATTGTAATTAACACTCATCCAATCTACATATAACCTTTAATCAGCGAACACAGAAGTGGCAAAACACAAGGTTGAAACTAGATAAAATATTTAATGTATAAAATATCAAAAACCCAACTTACACAATGTAGGAAAAAACACTATCACAGATTTCTACACTGTCTAATAATAGCCACAGGCCACACAACACTGCTGTAGTTTCTAGAATTACTTAGCGACAAGTAATATTAAACTAGAAGACTAAATCAACTGAAGAAAGCAAGGCACACACAGGTCTTAAGTACTCTCACGTTCAAATGGTCAGAGTCTATAGCCGGACAATGTGGACGGCTGCCTGACCAAGGTAAAACTGCCTCGTAGACTGCCAGGTCAAGATAAACTGCCTCGTGTTGCGAGTGTGCGGGGCAATTAAAGACTTCTGTGACAGGGGAGGTTATCCTCAACTCATGTCGCCATTGGTTGGGATAATCATCTGATCAGAATCATTCAATCAGATTTTAATGGAAATTTTCTATGTCTCAAACACCTTAATAGTCAATGGAAAAACCCCAGGTGTTACACAATCATTCCATATAAGGAATTATACAATGTCAAAATAAAAATGTCTCGACCTAAGTAGGTCACAATAGGAAATGCCACGAGCGGCTTTATTTTCTTTCTTTTTTTAAAATATTTTTTTGATCCAAATAATATTTTATAAGATAATTATTCAAGATTTTCCAAACATCGTCGCTCGCATCGCTCGCGAGATCGACTGCTTACATTTTCTTGGCTGCGGGAGAAAAATGTTGACACGGTCGAGGGTTCACCGTGAGTTCAGCAGGCCTACCATACATACGTCACAGCATTAACGATTGCTGTTAGAGATCGTCGGTGGGCAATTCCACCCCTCCCCTCATAAACCAAGCAAATTGTAAAACAATTTAGGGTCATTTTAAGTTCATGCAAGCTTACAGGACTATAGATTTACTACGCATAGCTGGTTAAAAAAAAAAAACTTCGCCTAACCTAATGCTACTACAGAAGAGAAAAATAATTATAGAGTATTTATTTTAAAGTTTTAAAAAAAGTTGATTTATCATCTTACCTAATACTGTATTGTCTTTACAGTTAGAATGCCTAGATCTAGATTTCTGTCAGATCTATTTTTAGTTTTGGATATTAATTTTATTATCATCTTCATGGGTATTGATTGTTCAATTCATCATGGAAGGCCTAATGTCTTAAATTGTACATTATAGGCCCTACATAGAATTTATAATAAATAGGCCTATGTCTGATATTTCTTTAATAAACATAATGAATATAAAGTTTTATTTCCAAAAAAATGTTTTGGTTTTTTTGGTAACTAAAATACCCAATGTTGTCGTAATTGCTATGACATCATGCTATGAATGGAAAACATAAACCAACATAATTTTTTGAGCTTTTTTGATGGCGAAAAAGAGTTTCGCATTTTAAGAAGTTAATTGGTCATTTTGTTTTTGTTTGTTTTCTTGGCCCCTAATTAAGCTAGACCATTAAATTTGGTCTCAAATTAACCAGTAAGTGATATAGTTTGTAATGATATATCATAAGTGACAGACAATTTTAATTAAAGAATTTAGCCTAATAAGAAAACCTACTAGCTACTTCTTACATTATCATTATTGATTATGATTACACTAGTGACTCCGAAGTAATACACTTATTACTTACTGTTTTCTTTAACCTAAAATCTCCTGAATGTGAGAAGGCCTGATATTATTAATCATTAACCATATTAAATTTCAACGATGCAAGATAAATTAACAATCAATTATTGTTAAATTAGATCTAGAATCTAGGTAATTCAGATTACAAATAATACTAATAAAATGTAATATTAATAACATTTGTCAACGCTAGTCAAAAAGAGCGACCCGGAAGTTCTTTCTTAATAAAACGGATATGTTGGACTGGATTTTAAACAAGGTAATTAAAAAGTCTAGTGACAATTTTAGCGCAATTTCCTTATGTTATCTAAAAATAGCTCTGTCGTAGCGTAAATCAAGAGCAGGGTTAGTAAAACCATTGGTTAGTTATTAAAACGTTTTTTATTATATTTTTTTCAGTATTTACATGTTTTATTTACAATAGAGTTACATGACTAAAAACCATTGCGCGCCTAGCTACCGAACCTGATGGCGCAGCTATTGAACGTGATGAAGCGTGTGGTGTGGTTGGATAAAAATGCCTACTAATTCGGTCCAAATTTTAATTAATTAAAAAAAATTTTTGTGACCGAACGAAAGGATATTTTTGAAAACTTTCTTCGGCAATATTATTCTAAATTATGGCAGGAATCGATTGGTACATGTTTCAAGTCGCTAAGTGGTCTGGTTGCCGAGATATAGGCCAAAAACTGCATTTTTTCGAGGTTTTTTTTGGCTTTTCCGGGAAATCCATGAAAGAAACCCGGAATTTTTATGGCCTATGTTCATCCTCGTAACTTGCTTAACATAATTGCTAGTCCTCGATACTGCTTCGTTGAGGAGGAGATACGACTTAAAGCTGCGGACACACATTCATCCATCCATTCATCCATCCAGAAATGACGGGTTAATAAACGCAATTCTCCAGAATGGAAATTGCGCTAAAGACCAGAAAGCTGCAAAGCACGGCTCGTGGGACGGAACGCGATGTCAAATAATGGCCTAATAAAATAATAATAATAATAAATAAGTGGAGTAAATAAGCGGGATATGAAAATGGTTGGATAAAAAAGAGGAACGATCATTATTTAAAAAAAAAATGAAAGTCAAAGGATACTTTTAACGCATCCATCAGTAATTAAATTAGTTCCAAGTTGGTAAAACTGTATTGAATAGAAGTAAAAAATAAAGAGTATAATGGGTCTAAAACCGATTTTCAAATATCTTACTAACTATAATAGATTGACGATAGAAGCATGTGGTTGTATATAAAACGTTTATTGGGTCTAACTACATGATGATAACAGAGAGAGGACGGAAGTGACGAGAGACAACTATTTATATACATGTAAGGGACATCACTCAAGATAACAATATAAATATAATACTAATACAGAAGAGTGAGTTCCCTTGACCTCACAATTATCTCAATCTATTACATCCCTTTACCCTTAGAACACAATAACACATCTCTCAATAGAACAATTGATAGTATCCTAAAATCACCAATTATATTGTAACATGAACATTATGGTAGATTACATCCTTACAAACAATGCACAATATGTTACAACATAATTAAAATACAAACAATGATGTCAAAGTCCTTTTGACCTTTAAAATCATAGGTCTAACTTATTTGGGACTTTGATTGTCCTGTTTGACCTTCTCAGTGGCTTTTGATTTGGTGACTCAATATTCTGACCATTTGGATTCTCTATCTCAGGAGGTCTAGGATTTAAATCATTAACTCCAGAATTTACATTTTCTGACTCTAGACAACTTGGTTCACTCATATCAACAGAACTTGGTTGTGGAACAAACTGAGTTGGTGTGAACTGTTCAGATTTGGTGGGATTGACAGATTCACACTTATTATCTGCACAAGTTATTTTTAACTGGTCTGCATGTCTACGGACAATAAGTCCATCATTTGTTTTTACTTTATAAGACACAGGTCCTGTACATTGAACAATTTGACCTGGTATCCATTTTTCCTTTCTCCCATAGTTTCTTAGATACACATTATCATTAACTGCAAATTCTCTTTCAATGGATGATTTGTCATGATTTACTTTTTGTGTATGTTGATGTTGGGAAACAGACCTTTGAACAGTTGGATGTAGTAGGTCAAGATGAGTTTTAATTTTCCTACCACATAGCAATTCACATGGTGCAACATCTGTTGTTATATGAGGAGTTGTGCGGTATTTGGCTAATAACCTGTTTACTCTTTCATTGTCACATTTAGCTTCTTCTGTTTGGTATTTACTTTTGATGTTACCCTTTTAGTTTCTGTAAGTGCTAATGATGTTAGCAAAGTTGTTTGATGATCACATTCCTTCTTATTTAAAGCATTTGAAATTGCCATATCACCATAATCATTTATTAAGTTACAAATACTTTGTTTAGGCAACTCTGACTGATAATGGACTGCATCTTCTCCATCTTTTATATTATCTTCACAAAGGTTTTTATTTCTTATTTAATATGGCCTTAAGTCATCATTCACAGACTCTTCAGGCCAACCATTCTTACAGTACTCATATACTTTTATTAAGCACTCATCTTTTTGTGTTTCTCTTTTAATATCATTCACATTTATATTGGAGTTATCCATGATAGTGAAGAGAACAAATACATCTTCTGGTACCCAGCTAAGGCTTTGGTTTTTTAAAGGTAATCTACTAAGACTATCTGCACTATTCTCAGATCCAGGTTTGTATTTCAATTCATAATTGTATGCAGTTAGTGTGATAGCCCATCTTTGAATTCTTGGTGAGGCATGCTCAGGTAGGGTTTTATTTTCTCCAAATAAACCTAGCAATGGTTTATGATCTGTAAAGATGGTGAACTTCCTACCAAACAGAAACTTATGAAATTTCTTAACACCAAAAATGATGCCTAAGCCTTCCCTATCTAACTGAGAATAATTTTTCTCAGCCTGGTTCAAAGATCTACTGGCAAAAGCAATGGGTCTGTCACCCTTCTCATCCATGTGGGACAAGACTGCTCCTACACCATCTGGTGAAGCATCACATGTTAATATAAGTCTTTTCCCTGGGTCATAGTGAGTTAGTAAGGTGTCAGAAGACAAAGCCTCTTTTGCTGTATTAAAAGCAGTATCTTGTTGTTTACCCCAGTGCCAAGTTGCATTTTTCTGTAGCAGCTTGTACAGTGGTGATAGTTTACCAGACAGATTTCCTATGAACTTTGCATAGTAATTTATCAAGCCCAAAAAAGCTCTTAGTTGTTGGGTATTTTCAGGTTTTGGTGCTTCTTTAATGGCTTTTGTTTTCTCAGGTTGAGGTCTGATACCTTGCTTGCTTAATATATAACCAAGAAAACTAATTTCTGTCAGCATGAATTGACATTTATCTTTGTTTATCTTCAAACCTTTTTCACCAACAATTTTCAATACTTTATCAAGTGTTTTAAGATGTTCAGTGTCATTCTTACCAGTTATGTACACATTGTCAAAGTACACACAAACATTTGGAATATCCTTAAAAATACTGTCCATGACAGCCTGGAAAATTCCAGGGCTGGATGATATGCCAAAACATAGTCTTTCATATTGGTAGAGTCCTTTATGTGTGTTTATTGTCGTATAGACTTTTGAATCTGGATGCAGTTCTAGTTGAGTGTAAGCATGACTAAAGTCTAATTCAGTGAATTTGTCTCCTCCTGCCAAATTCAAAGAAATTTCCTCAATGTTAGGTATAGGGTACCTATTTAGCTCTATTTGCTTATTCAGTGTAGTTTTATAGTCTCCACAAATTCTTATAGAACCATCCTTCTTTAACACTGGCACAATGGGCGTTGCCCAATCGGAATAGTCTACCTTCTTTATGATGCCATTAGATTCCAATCTACTTAGCTCATTTTCAATTTTATTCCTCATTGCATAAGGTGGAACTCTAGCTATGCAGTGTCTTGGATTTGTGTCTTTAATGCTTAACTTCACTGTTCTATCATTTAGTAAACCTGAATTGCCAAAAACACTTTTATTTTCAGATATAACTTTATCTAGTGAAGTAAGACTAGATTCTTTTGCATTGACCACTGAACATATACTCTCCCAATTTAACTTAAGATTACTTAACCAGTTCCTACCTAGTAATGGTGGTCCATTTCCTTCAACCACAAGAAGAGGAAGTTTAACACTTTGACCATTATAACTTACATGAACCATACACTCTCCTATTACCGGAACATTGTCACCAGTGTATGTTGTTAGACACTTGTGACATGGCTGTAGAGGCACTGATCCTCCTGTGACAGCGTCAAAATCTTTCTTTGTTATGACTGTTAGAGATGCTCCAGTGTCAAGTTGGAAGCTGATGCTCTTACCGTTGATATAAACTAGTACACTGATGGGAGCATGACTTATTGATTTCACAGAGAACAGGTTGAAATCCGGCTGCGAATCAGTTTGAACATTTTCACTGGTAGAGTGGTTCATTGGTTGGGTTAGGTAGTCTTGGTGAGAGTTAACATAGTGCTGCCTTTGGTTGCGGTACTGTCTTGACTGGCTAGATTTAGCAACAGACGAAGACTTTGCAAAGCAGGCCTTGGCAATGTGACCTTGCTTACTGCACTTATAACAAGTTGCAGACTTGAACTTGCACCGATGAGATGCATGGGGACCTTTGCATCGATGACATTTTTGATAATTATTACTAGATTTAGATCTAGGATTTGAACGTGCAGGCTGTTTAGCATAAGTTGAAATGCTCTGATGGGGTTGATGTTTATTGACTAACCTGCTGTTTACTGCATGGATCTCTGAAGGTGCTAAAGATCTCGCCGCATCAGATGACTGCTGGAATGAAGTTGCAAGTTGTATTGCTTTTTCCAATGTTAGATCTGACTCGAGCAGCAACTTTCTTTGAATATCAGGGCTGTTTACACCTGTCACAAACTTTTCACATAGTCTGTCAGACAGCGTGTCTCCGAATTCACAAAATTCACTTAAATGACGTAAAGCAGCAACATATTCTGATATTGACTCGTTTGGTTGACGAGTCCTACTGTCAAATCTAGCTCGACATAGAAACTTTGATGGGGTAGGCGCATGGTGGTCTGTTAGCAATTTGCTCAGCTCGTTAAAGCTCTTGGTAGTTAGACTAGCTGGTGCGCATAAGTCCTTTAGTAGCCTAAATTGTTGAGGCCCTATGACTGTTAACAAAACAGCTCTCTTTTTGGCTTCTATCGTCACGTCGTTAGCTTCTAGGTAAAAGCTTAACCTATCTAGGTAATCCTGAATGATTTCATCATTCGAATCAAATTCTTTTATTTGGCCATACAGCGCCATTATTCTAGAAATACTTAGCTAAATATGCTCTAGCAAACCTCTATTTGAGTAAGTATGTGCTCTTTCTAGTGGATCATTTATCCTCGTCGCCAGATATAATAGATTGACGATAGAAGCATGTGGTTGTATATAAAACGTTTATTGGGTCTAACTACATGATGATAACAGAGAGAGGACGGAAGTGACGAGAGACAACTATTTATATACATGTAAGGGACATCACTCAAGATAACAATATAAATATAATACTAATACAGAAGAGTGAGTTCCCTTGACCTCACAATTGTCTCAATCTATTACACTAACATTCTACTTTCTATATTAGTTTTTAGTGAATGCGTATGTATAATTATGGTATTAAATCTCCGAGCGTTGCCGCAACCCGACCAAATTTTTTTTGCTTGCAGCGAGTTTTTTTTTTTGGCTCATTTAGAATACCCACTAAAAGGAAACAATTATAAAACACTGTATAACTATTTTTTTTTTATAGTTGAGGATTAATATTTTAAGAGAGGGGAGGGTTTGTCATTTTTTTTCAATTTGTGCTCAAGACACACAGGGCCGCCACAGAAAGTTCCCTCCACTTTTTTCGGGCAATTTTCCTGTCAGTCCCCCATGATAGTCTAGCATCTGCCGGCTGCATACCTTGGCATGTACCTCAACATCTCCCTTAGCCTTCCCTTTTTTTTTTCCCTATAGACATCCAGTTTAGCGCCATTCCTGTGATGTCTTCTCGATTCATTCTTAGGACGCGCGAATCCATCACCATGTTTTTATAAGCTTTTATTTAGTTTGCAACGTCTGTTTGTTTCTGAGTTTGTGGCGAATCTTGTAACTTAATTTCGACCAATTTTTAATGCAGCGATTTCGTTCAAACTTTCTAGATAAGTTCCATTTCGATGACAAAAAAATTGCATCTATGTTTTTAAATTTAATTAGATGTTTAATTAGCAATTAAAACTTAATTAAACAGTTTTGAAACTATGGGGAGAACAACATTAAATCACTCGATAGATGACTATATATAATAATAGAAGGGGAGATAAATAGCCAGACGAGATCACCTTGACAGGCGAGTTGTGGTTCACGATAATGTTTAGAATAGTAGAGCCGGTCGATGTAGTGAACTTTATTAGGGGCAGATAATAAAGTTTTTTTTAAACGAAGGGGAGGTAACAAGAACTAGCTGTCGTCTGTAAAATATGGTCACGGACAGCTGCTTTTTTCTCTCGGGGGGGGGGGGGGGGGCATTTGAATTTTTTTTGGGGAGGGGGGGGGGCGATAGACTTTCTTCTGGTGGGGGGGGGGAGTACCCCCTTCCCCCCGAAGAGATGCCTAGAGATAATCGTCCTTCAGATATCGTTATAAAGAAAATACTTTTAGTTGTTTTTAAATACTTGTTATTTTCCCCCCAATTATTTTGGAAACTGCTTCCATTTTTAACTCTCTTGTAGTCTATCATTCGAGATGACGCTACGACAGTGTATGCCTTTTATCATTCACAAGCACTTTGTTTGGAAAAGAGTCCAGTGATCTGCTGGTGGTGGTTGTTCATGACATTTGCTGCCACTTATGGGACGGAGTGGCCTAACCCATAAGTCTCGACTTCAAATCCGGGTTCAAGTCAGCAGACCGTCCCTGAGTCCAACCAGCTATGATGGGTACCTAACTCACGTTAGGTTAAGTAAAGGCGGCTGGGCATAGTGCAGACCACACTTTCCCTTCATATGCCGAGGTCACAGAAACAACTGAACTCCACTTGCACTGTAGACCGTCAGGTTTGAAAGGGAACTTTACTTTAGACAGGACATTACTTTTGAAAAGTCTGCATTTGGTCTTGGAGATTTTCTTTGATGGCCATGTTTTTGCATGGTTGCAAAAGGCTTGTTTAATAAGTTGTTTGGCTTTAGAGATGTGTGTTTTAAGTTCAGCGGTGTAGTCTGCTTCATAATGATTGAGGGGGGGGGGGGGGGGAGTGTTAAACAGGACTTACTAAATACACCTAAAAATGTATAGACATTTAAGTGTGTACTTGTTTGTTTAGATTCATACCTACACACATAAACATATATAAAAATATGGCTGCCTTTGTTATCTGGTTTAAATGTAACACTTATATTTTGAATATTACAATTTTAAAAAATTTCATAACTGTAAATTTTCCTGATTAAATAAATATCGATTATGTTAAGTATGTAGAGGCAAGATGTATAGCAGTGTTTTAGATTGTTTAAGAATTAAAAACACATTTGTGTGTAACTAAGGTTATCAATGAAATTATTTTCATAACTACAGTAGGCCCTATATTCTTACATTATCATTATGTATTTGTATGATAGGGTGATAATAAAATAACACTAAACAAAAACAATTGTGCATTTAATTTTATTTAATTTTATTGATTTACTTAAAAGTAAAACACAACCAGGTAATTTTTTAAACAAAATTTTACAGAATTAATTTTAACGTGTAGATAATTCAACATTTAATTTTGATTTACTCGGTGATGGCAGTTCATTATTATTAATAAAATTATATTCCTATAAACAAAGAGTATATCAACATTTTCTTGCGTTATAATATGAAAATAAAAACTAAAATTATAAGATTTAAGTCTGATAGAAAAGAGATAGTCTAGGATTCTAGAACTTGAGACAACAGAAAATTTCTGTGAAATGTGTATGAATGGTAGTGAATTTAAGTGCAGGTGTAGGTGGCCTATTATGGCTTTCAACCATCTTAATAAAAATATTTAAGTCAGATTTACAACACTAATACATTTTTATAGTACTTAAAATTAAAAACAAGCACTTAACATTATTTACAATTGAAATATAAAAAAAAAATATTATGCCAAATGTTCAAAGACTGATAGGTTTTACTTAATTTGTAATTAGCTAGAACTAAGAGAAACATGAAATGAAGCCAAAGAAATATTTTATTGGAATAATTTTTTTTTCCATGTGTCCAGAACATAGGGATATCACAAAAAAAAAATCTTTCCACTTCTGACTTTTTCTGGCAACTTTTATTGCAGTTTTCCAGAATATTCAAGAATATTTCAGCTATCGTCAGTCCTTTTTCTCCAAAGCTTCTCCCTGTTTTCCCATGGCCTTCACTATTTTCCTTTTTCCTTGCAATATCCCAGCTCCATTGTCGTAATTTAATCAGATTTCATCCAGTGGCATATCTTTTCAATTACTTCTGATATGGCTTCCATTTCTTTTAGTAACTTTTATGTTGGGTCAGTGAATGCCTTTTATCCCATTCAGGCACTTAAATTGGTAGGAATGCAGAGAGTTGATGGTAGCAGAGTTGATTTCCGCCATTCACTGCCAGAAAGTGGAATTATACCCTCAGTAATAAGGCTTGTCTCTATGGTAATAATTCTAATCTTAACAAATTGTCTCTTTGAGATCATAAGCAATGATGTGCTCTAATCCTATTTTTAATAACATGATGTAAAAAGATACACTACACTATAGGATGATAAACATTATAATTATAAATATTGTATACATATATATATATATATATATATATAATATATATATATGTATAAATTAATATACACAATTTATGCAGAGAAATAAAACCTCTGATAACAGACCTAAATTCGATCTAATTCATGAATTAGAGTGGAGTAGTACTAAATCTAAATTACCATAGTCATGATAATGATAACAACTTTTACTTCCAGAACAGCACAGCATACATCATTCTTTAACTAATAAATTGTATTTTTCTATTATTTCTAACCACGTGAGAATACAATAAATATTATTTTATTTACTATTTAGTTTAAATTACCCTGTGAGGGTAAATAAAAATTGTTTCAAAACCTATAAACAATATAGTAATCATATACATGACACAAAAAGTTATTCATTCTGATCAGATGGCAGATTAATTCCATGTGACATTTAAGGGGACAGCGTGGGCTAATGGTAGAGCGTTAGACTACTAACTCGAACGTCTTGAGTTCAAATCAGTAGAACATCCCTGATTCAACCAAGCTTTGATGGGCACCTAATGTTCATTAAGGAAACAAAGGTGGCTGAGCATATGTCAACCACATTATCCCCTTTATGCCAAAGTCATTGAAAGAGATGAACTCTACTTTATCTCCTCCATGTGTCTTAGGCACACATGGGGAAAAGATGATGATGACATATCAGGAAAGTGTTGTCAGTACTAGGCTGCCTTTTCTTTCCTCACATTCATCTGTGAGCTGAGTGAACCAAAATATGTTCCTAAGTTTCAAGTCTGAGATCTGACCTTTGACCTCGGAACCTTGCATTTAGCAGTCGAGGGTTATACCACTCAGCCATCCTGGCGCTCACATGACATACAGATTTCTTAAAAAAAAAATGACAGATTATGCAATGCTTGAATTATTATGTTATTTGTATTGAGCCTTTTTTATGTGAGCTGGAAAATGTTTAAAGTAAAGTAGTATGATACAAAAAGAAAAATATAATAACAACTTGTAATTTTGTTAAAATAAAGGATTAATTAAACATAGGTAAACTGACTTTTTACAATACCAATACACAACAGGTGAGTCAGTAAAGGTAAGCCGCCCTTTGATTATAAAATTACAGGCATTTCTATCCAGTTACAATAACTAATCTTTGCCAGCCTTTTACTAGATTCAACAAGAACATCTGGAAGCTTAGATTCAATAAAATTTGACTTTAAAATATTCGTTTGAAAAAAAGACGTAACGTACTTAAAAGCATAACGATTTAAATTATATTTCCTTATGTTTTTCAAATATATAAAACAGCCAATACAACTTACTCTACAATACAAATATATTTATGTTAACTTTACAAAAAACAATTTCATAGGCTTTGATAAAAATGCTCAGAACAAACATTCTGTCTAAATATATTTATTATAATTATCTATTATTAAACCAAATATACACTTGATATTCAAATAAGACTTAGTTAAATATGATGGCGAATTCTGAGTATATATTAATTTTCTTCTAAATGTATCTTTTTATGTCGTTGAAAATGAAATTCCCTTTTAAACATTTTGTGACAAACCTCACATTCAAGAGGTCCATATTTATCATGAACTTTCTTATGTTTTGTTAAATACATCATCATATTAAACTTTTGATGACAAATTTTACATTCAAATTTCTCTTCTCCAGTATGAAGCCTTTTATGCGTATTAAAAGAAGAGTTAGTGGAATATGTTTTATGACAAACATCACACTCATAAGTTTTACTGCCACAGTTCATTTTTTTATGTTGCTCTATTAGATATTTCTTGAAAATAACTTTATGGCAAATTTCACATTCATAGTTGTCTACTTTATCATGAATTTTTACATGTGTTGCTAAGTAATCGTTCAGAGCAAACTTTTTATGACAAATGTCACATTCGTATGGTTTTTCTCCAGTATGAAGCATTTTATGCTTAGTTAAATGAGAGTTCTGAGTAAACTTTCTATGGCAAATTTCACATCCAAACTGCCTATCTCCAAGATGAATCTTTTCATGTTGAGTTAAATTTGTCTTCAGAAAAAACCTTTTAAAACAAAAATTACATTCATATTGCTTCTCTTCAAAGTGAAGTTTTTCATGTGTTGCTAAATGACACTTAAAGGTAAACTTTTTATGACAAATGTTACACTCATATAGCTTTTCTTGAGAATGAATGTTTTTATGTGCAGTTAAGTAAGATTTCTGAGAATACTTTTTATGACAAACATCACACTCAAATTGGTTTTCACCAGTATGAATATTTTTATGCACATCTAAATAAGACTTCCGTAAAAACCTTTTTTGACATACATCACATTCATATGGCCTTTTTTTTGAATACATCAAGTTATGCAGATTATAGCCAGACTTATGTAACTTTTCTCCTATAATATGTTTTCTTAAATGTTGTCTTATGTTGCTATTCCTCATGAATTTTCGATTACATAAATCACACACGTATGAAATCACTTCACTGTGAATTAATGGATATCTTAAAGAAGAGTAATCAATGGATATGTTTTGCTGAGTATCCACTTCATCTTGATTTATGTCTTCGTGATATGAAATGGATCTATCTGGATCAATGCCTTCATAAGTGGAAATTGATTCTTCTGGATTTATGTCTTCAAGTGTTGAATCTGATACATTTGGGTTTCTCTCGTTAAAAGTGCTAATGGATACGTCTGGTTTTATGTCTTCAAAAGTTGCACTATCAGTTGAAACATCTGTTGTAATTACCTCATATGGTTCCACTTTAACTACTGGTGTATTTAGAATTACATGTGTTTCCCCTTCCATTCTTGATTGGTTACTAAAAAAAAATAATGTATGGTTCCAATAAGCCACTATTACATAAAACATATAGTGTGTTTTTAAAATAAACATTTTTTTTGCTACAAGTTAACTACTGAAAATCCCTGCATGTCATTGCTTATAGCGTTCTAAAAAATGTATAAACAGTATATCCACACCCAATACTTATGCTGGGTGGGGGTAAACTGCAAAGATGTCTGGACAAATTATTCTGCAACCAACTTAAAATGAACTCTGATACAGACTTTAAAGACTTTTTGTTTGATTTTTCCATCGCTAGATGATTTAACATCTTCTCTCTTTTATGTTGAAGACTGAAACTGCCAGATATATCGCATTCGAACATCACCCTGCTCAAAGCCACCGCAAACATAAGTTGAACTGTTGCAAAGAAATTTTGTAATATTACTGCCGCCTACTATTTATTTTTTTATCGTTGATTTTTTTGTTTACTTTTATAATTTAAATTACTTAATCAAAAATAAATTAAACATTTTAAATTCTTTATTTATACTTCTACGCATTTTACAGTTACAATAATACAAATTGTTAAAGATTGAAAGGTATTGGCCTTACATAAACAATATGGCTGAATATTACTCCTGCTGATAAGATTATAATATGAACTCATAATGATCCAAAGCATGGTTTGTCATACTGCTCTTGTTAAGGCTATGACCTTTGGTAAAATTTTTATGTGCACTGGCTGTGACCCCACAAAAGGTGGTATTTTTCTCACAAAGACAAGAAAACTTTAGAATTTTATATATAGATCTAGATAAAGATTTTTAAAAAATATAGTCTAAAAAATATTTTCTTAATGAACTCAATGACCAGTCGACCCGTTGACAAGAAAACATGAGCAGGCGATCATAGGAGCAACAATGTCCTGATTTTTTATTAATGAAAAGAAATCTATACTAGATCAAGAACATATTTTTTAAAAAGGAAAATATAAAATTCTCATGATACATCTAGTTGTTTAGTTTATATTATAAATTTCTTCTTGCAAATTCGTTGAAAATCTACCAAACATGATTACTGATTAGGCTAACTACAAGAGATCGGCTTTGTGAGTTTGTCATAATTTAAATCTAGAATCCAGATCTTGATTCTAAAATCTAATAATAACTAATTTAACTAAATGCATTAAGCAATTATTTACTATTTAGGTCTAACCCTAGTGAATATATTTCATAACTTAGTAAATGATAATTAGTAACTTAGTAGGCCTTTTTGAATTAAGTACTAACCTTACTAGATTTATTAGTTAGGCTAATACTATTATAATTGAATAATTAGACCTATAGTATTAGTATAGGCCTAGGGCAGGAGTGGGCAACCTTTTGAGACGGAGGGCCAAAAGTTACAATTTACAAAATTTCTCAGTTTTTAAAGAGCCATATCTTTTTTTCCAATATTTAGTATTTGATTAGGATTATGTAAATAATGTGATTTGTTATTTAAAGTAAATAGCTTTAAATATGAAATAATATTTATTCATATAAAAACATACACATGTTTCGCCAGAGTAATAAAATTAAAATTAGTAATAAAATAATATAACTATAGGACTCTCCCAATCCAATTTAGAAGCTGTTAACCTTTTTTTCTGTCTTTACAGATATCACCAGGCAGGCCTCAACACGGCAAACTCCGAATAACTGGCTTGGGTATCGGTTTGATTACCGTGTATCGGTCGCTATGTCCTTTGGCTCTCACCAGGCTTATCTTCCACCCCACAGAGCCCATGGTAAACTTGTACCCCACCATCCAGTACCCAGCTCGACCGCAGGAAGCTAATGACTAAAAAAAGAACTACGTCACTCAGGTCAAATTAATGATTATTGACAGATAGGGAAATGCATTCTGAATAAAATAACATTCTCATTTAACGATATTTGAAAAAGTCGGCACTTAGGCAGTTGCAAGCATCGAATTATTGCCACGGGGCTGTCCATAGCAAGGCTGTGGGGCTGGGCCTGGTGCCCAAACGGCTATTAGCTGTCCGTATACTTTCTACTGCACCTACTCTCACTGTTCCCTGATGAGTATTTTTATACTGTTTAAAGTTGTGTTTCTTTAAAGTGTAATATTTGTTTTGAATTATTAAAATGAAATAATATAAATGTTAATATTAGTGCAAGGAGCTGGAGAGCCGCATTTTGACACCGAAAGAGCAGCATGTGACTCACGAGCTGCAGGTTGTCGACCCCTGGCCTAGGGTAATATAGCATCGGTTATTATTCTAGATCTAAATACTAGTCTAAATACTTTAATTAAATTTAAATTAAAGCCTACTAGATCTAGGCCTTTAAACTATAAAAACATTAAATTTGATTAATATTCATGAATAAATATTAAATGAAAATATATTGAAGAATTGATGAATAACAATGATTAGACCTAATGGAGGCAACCGTGTTGACAAAAATACTTCCATCATATTATATGTTTGACATGGATTAAAAATGTGCTTTTTATATTTTGCAATCAAAGCGATCATAAAAATAATAAAAACTTAAGCCTAAAAATAATTCAGAAATTTAATAGGCCTAGGAGGCCTATTTTTTGAATCAATGTTATACCTTGAAAATAATTTTTTTGAGTTTAAGGCTACATTTCTATTTATTTTCATTTAGCGTAAGTTATAATCTGATGTTTCACTTTCGTAAGACAAACATTGATTGGTTGTATTGGAACTCCATGATCGATTTCTGACAGCCCACATCATAGTATATTTTTTGTTAACAAAACTTTGCAAATAAAAATTTTAAATAACGATGATGTAAATTTAAACAGCATGACCTAAAAATCTGCCATTTTATATTTACAATTTGTACAATAAAATCTATGGTAGCCTATCAAATAGAAGGATGACATTGTTTATGTCACCATTACATGTGAAAACCACATTGATTTTTTTCTTAAATTTTTAATTTAGTTAGGCCTACCGAAAATATTAAATTAAAACCATAAAACTAGCCCACAACTTTTATTCTTTAGCAAAGTCAGAGCAAAAAAACAAACAGACAGGATTTTTTAACCATATTCATTTTAACGAAATGACTACTCAGAAAAAGATTTTTCGGCAGAAAATACAAAACTCAATAGTTATGGGCATGTAGAGTAAGCTTAATATCTGCGCTAGGGTTAGAGTTAGGACTAGAGTTCTGCTGTTTGTAAACACACGTATGTACGATAGAAAACCTCGCAGCGAATGAAGGCGTTAGTTTCTCTCAATTGCGCATGCATATCTTTTTGGCTAGAATCGGCCTAATTTTAACAAGATCTAGAATCGAGATCTTACCCCTTGCATGATTTTTAAAATATTTAGGCTAATTTTAAATTATAGGCCCTAATAAAAAATTAAAATTTTTAATGGGCTTCTCGAATACCTTGTGCCTAGTTTGATTGAGACATCACTTTACTCGCTCGGGTCAATGATCATTAATACTAATTAATAGATTAGCCTATAGATCATATAATATATAATATATAGGCCTAAGTCATATTCATAACTTATAGTAGTTAGGCTAAATCTGGGTGTGGGGAAATTGCGAGACGCGAAAAGCGAAATGGCGAGGCGGGAAAATGCGAGAAGGTAATGCGAGACATACCTGCGGAATTAAGGGTAAATAGCGAGACACTTTTTGCGAAAAAAGTTTTTTCCTTTTTTTTCCATCTTTATTTATTTAAATTATTTTTTTTTTAATAAACAAGCATTTAGCCATACCCTTTAACACGAGTGTTGTATGTTTTTTTTTTATCTAGATACTAAGAAGATAGATAGATCTATATCTAGATCTATCTATTTAAAAATTCTAACATCGTTGCTGTGCTACTGTCATCGCCCGCTCTTGTTAGCGAGAGGAAAATCCCGTCTCAGTCGGCATTAATTTAAAAATCTAGCCCGCTCATGTTTATACAAACGTGAGCTGTGTCATTGTGAATTGGTATAATCTTGTCAGCAGGAGAGATATTTTGCAACATCTATTTATGGATTTTTGTACTTGCAAAAAGTGTAAAAGTATAAACAATTCTAAAAAGTGCAATTTATTATTTTATTAAGTAATTTTAATTACAAACAAAATTTACAAACAAAATCTTCTGAAACAGTCCTCAAACACACCTCGTGACACCATCTTTCACACATAGTACACCCAACCCAGTTCATTAGACTCCCATTTAAACATTTTTCTTTTGCTACTTCTTCCAATCCACATTCACAACATTTCACATTCTCATCACAATTGACCTCCTCGTTCATCCCACAACCAACACTGGCACCCATGTTCTCATCATCATCATCCGCACGCTGAACATCTGTTTTCCGTTTTTTATAATTTGTATTTTTTATCATTTCTGTAATTTTGGCAATGTCTTGCTCATTGTTGTCACCAGCAGTTGAGTTTTTTTAAAACATCGATATTTTCCCAAAATCTTGTCTAATTTCGGTCAAAATAGAGTATTTTAATCAATTCCTATTGCAATGTATTAAAACAGTTTTCTAAAACGCGAAAAAACGTCTAAAATTCTTTTTCTAACACATCGTCATAAAATTACAGACCCCCCCCCCCCTTTACGAGTGTGACGTCATTTATGGAAGAACCCAAATAACACCACCACCAAAACAAAAAAAAATTCAGATAAGTTCAACTTGGTTTTAAAAATATTTGAAGTGGGCCCATAGCTTACGATATAGCACGAGCAACTGATAATATCGGTGACGTCACTTTATTTTGTTGTATCCAAATGATGTAGGCATTTCCTTGTGCTTAGATTTATATGGTAAAAAAAGCTAGAAAAAAATCGTAGGCGGCGGCTATAATACAAAATTTCTATGCAACAATAGAAAATATTTTGCGGCGGCAGCGGATCCGGGCACTGCGATCTTCAAAGAAGGTAAATCAGGCGGCCTCGGCGTTCCACACAAAAGACAGAAGTTGATCTATCGTCGGCGGCATTTCCGTCGGTTTCGAACAAGGTGGTATTCTAAGTCGACACAAAAGATGGGGGGAGTTGACAAATCATCAGTATGTCTAGCGACGGAAAAATCGGAAGTTTTAACAATGTAAAACGAAACGTCTTTGAAGTCTGGACCAAATACCACTGAAAATCGGGTGCGGTAAATTTTTCGCAGAAATCTTCGCATTTCAACACCACCCAGCGTAAGTATCGGCTTGTGGTAAAATGCGAGACAAAAAGTCACGTGACCGACCGTTTTCGCGCCCTTCTCGCATTTTCCCGCCTCGCCATTTCGCTTTTCGCGTCTCGCAATTTCCCCACACCCGCTAAATCTAGATCTGAAGTAATCTATCATTTTAGGTAGATGTACATAAATAAATTGGCTGAGAATGTAAAAAAAAGGTGACTCATTATTAATACTAGATTTATTAGAAATCTAATGAGTCACCTTATGTTCTTTAGTAATTTAATTAAAATAATTAGGCCCCTAGGTAGGCCTAGGCCCTATTTCACATTTTTAGTAGGAGGCGATTCGGATTTAATATTAATTTAATTAGATTGTTAGAATCTACTGATTTAGTCAGATTTACGTTTTGAAAGTAAAAAAAAAATGATTCAAAGTTTCATATAATGTACCTGTTTTTAAACGATTATATTAAAACTTTTCAGTAAAAAATAAAGACTAGCAATGTTTTCATCAGATGCAACCTAGCTCATTTACTTTAGCAGCCATCTTGTTTAAATTTTGGCCGATGCTAGCCGGAATAAGATACGCATGCGATACGCATGCCCAATGGAGAGAAATTACGACTTGCCTTCGCGGCGATGTTTTCAATGGTACTGCGCATGCGTATGTTTACAGCCGCAGAACCCTACCACCAACTCTAGAGTCTAATCCTAGCCTAACCCTATCCCTAATCCTATCCCCAACCCTAACCCTAGCCCTAATCCTTTCCCTAGCCCTAATCCTATCCCTAGCCCTAATCCTATCCCTAACCCTATCCCTAAATTTGTTAGTCAAATTATGGTTAGAGATTCAGGGGAAACCACTCTAACATACAAATGACCGCTGTTTATAAAGTAAATCTTGCTCACAAACACTGCTGTTTTAAAGTTAATTTCTGGCCTATAGTTAGATACCCATCATAGTTGGGTGGACTCAGGGACGGTCTTCTGACTTGAACCCGGATTCGAACTCGAGACTTACGGGTTAGCAGTCCAGCACTCGACCGCCAGACCACTCCGTCAACGAAACATCAAATGATTTAGGGGAAGTAACTAAGCTAGTTTTTTTGGCAAAAATATTAATTGAGTTGCTTCTCTTTGTTTACTGTTGATTTTTTAATAAAAAAAAAATTCTAGCAAATCCACTTTTGTCTAGATTTAAAACACCATAAACTGCTAAATCTTAGTTTTTAAAAACCGTACTAAAATAAAGTTATATATAGGCCTACATTATATTTATTTTACATTGTCTTCACTGTAAAAAAATGCCCGTTGGCCTACACATACTGACTGGAAATGTGATGTGGATTATTTTTTTTCTAAAATGGGATACGGTGGACATTATAACTCTGTTAATACATTTTTAGATTTTTTTTTTCATGTGGTGTTAAAATATCACCTCCTTGCACTCAGACACCTCATTTCTTGAACATCTTATCAACCCATAGCTTTATAAAACTTGAACCATGTCATTGGAAAAGTTTGCAATGTTTACTTTGATTGTTGCTACATTTAATTACTTTAAAATATTATCATAGATTGTTATCAATGATCAGAGGCACAATTGATTTTAATTGGCTTAGAAATATAATACAGTGTCTATATCCCGAGTTCCCACCCCCTGTTTTTTATATAAGAATGTTCGTGAAAGTTTAGGGGAAATCACTCCCGGTTTATTTTATATTTGTGTTAAAAAGACTTGTTTCTTCCCCTCCCATTTTTTAATACACACACAATATATTTAACTATCACATTAATGCTCTAAATGCTCATATACTATTTTAAAGTAATCACTTATTTATTGTAGAAGTAAATAAACTTGGTTTAAGCAGGTTCAAATAATATTAGAAAAATTAAATGATAAAAAATATGTTATGAAATTAAAATGCAACTTTTATTGTTTAACAAAAACCGTGGAATTGATGTTTGTTGGAATAATTTTACTTTTGTAAATTATCTTGTCGATGTTGAACAGATTTTTGGCTCTACCATTGTCTTGGTCTTGTTTTCACAATGGCAGACTCCTCAAACAGACATTTAATGGAACACACTTGACTGTCGTCCATGCACCTCATTATTGCCTGTATCACAAAATGTATTGGTATGAAGTTTCCCTGTTCTTGTACACTATATTCATAACCATTCATGCACTGGCTTTCTAACCACTATCAATAGGCCATTTGATTGTTATGGAGGTAAAACGTTAAGTAAGTTATTTGCTTTGATCTGTTCCCTGTAAAGCTATGATTGTCATAAATGACATAAAATGAATTATCTGCTTATATGTGAAGAGAGAACTGCAGTTGTGTTATACCGTCTCATGTGCAGTCCAGTTTGCTTTTTTTGTTTTAAATTTACCTTCCTGAAATTCCAATTACTGTTAGTTACTGTAGAGCAGGGGTCTCCAAACTACGTCCTCGCGGGCCGGATGCGGCCCGCGAGGACCTCTCATCCGGCCCGCGGAGATCTTTTTGTCCACGGAAAAAACTTTTGTTGGTGCTGCCTGAGGAACTTTGTCCAGAAAAATCAAAGACATGCCTGGAAGAAACTGGCCCCCGAACTGAAATTTGTTAGTTAATGCGGCCCTCGGACTGAAAAGTTTGGAGACCCCTGCTGTAGAGCAATCACTGCTATAGTAGAACTGGTTATTTTTTTAGAAAACCACTATCAAGGTGCACGAAAAACATTATTTATGAAAAGAAAATTCAATGTTTTTGGTCGGAATTGGGCCCCCTGAACGATGTGCCCCCCCCCCGCCCCCGCATTGCTGTGTCCGACAGCACTGTAGTTCCGCCCTTGTATGTATTACATTACTTTAACCTTTTTGGGCCCTTCCTAAATATTAGTTTAAGTATCCGATAGATAATATAGTGACCCACTCTTTTCTTTATAGTTATTTAAATAGTAGTGTATTATTATAATATATTTAAAGAAAATCATTTACTTTCTCCTTTTTAGATCACCATTACATAACAAATTTTTTTAAGCTTTTTATTTACAAGACTGCTGATTTTACACATCTACTGACTTTATTATAAAGCAATTCTTTAATTAAATATATTTAATTTCAGTGCAATGAAAAAAGTCTAAATCACGTATATAGTAACCTGTGAGATGAAAACTTTTGTCTGTCGATTACTCGGGTGCCTTTCGCGTCTTAGGGGTTAACCATAAATGACGTAGCCCTTTTTTTGACGATTTTTACCTCCCCACCTCCCCTGAGTTACACATCGTCTCAAAAAGCCAGATCCCCCCCCCCACTAAAATGACGTCAACCAGCAGCATACAACCCCCCCCCTCAAAATTGCAGTTGAATATTTCTTAAAATAACAGCTAAAATTCGTTTTCTAACATTGCTTTTTTTATAATACAAAGGTGTGACGTTACACCATCTCATATCTCCCTTCTCCCTCATCACACATCGTCACAAAATTACGGACCCCTCCCCTCTACGAGTGTGAAGTCATTTAAAGACGACCCCTTACAAGCTCATACTAGAGATCTGTAGTCTGAAAACGCATGGGTACATGAATAATTCAAAGAGAAAATGGATTTTTGATAGGTCGACCCCATCGCAAATTCACAATTGATATGACAAATTGTCAATTTTATTATATCAGACTTTTTTTTTTCGTGTGTAACAGAGAAAGAGCATGGGGTGGGCTTATACTTCACACTCCGCCCTGTCGAAATACTAATACTATTAAATTTAAATAGAGAATAATTAATTGAACCACCATATCACAGCCTTACCCCGGAAAAAGAGGCCGCCACTAAAACTCCAACCGAAGAAAAAAGTCTGTCAATAAAAATCCTAAGTCAGTAGAAAAGAGGACGTCACTAAAACACAAAGTATATAGAAAAGTGGACGTCACTAAAACTCCAAGATAGTAGAACAGAGGACGTAACTAAAACTCCAAATCAGTAGAACAGAAGACGTCACTAAAACTCCAAGTCAGTAGAAAAGAAGACGTCACTAAAACACAAAGTAAATAGAAAAGAAGACGTCACTAAAACTCCAAGTCAGAAGAAAAGAGGACGTCACTAGAACTCTAAGTCAGTAGAAAAGAAGACGTCACTAAACACAAAGTGAAAAGAAAAGAAGACGTCACTAAAACACAAAGTGAATAGAAAAGTGGACGTCACTAAAACACACAGTGAATAGAAAAGAGGACGTCGCTAAAACACAAAGTAAATAGAAAAGAGGACGTCACTAAAAATAACATCTGGTTGATGAGCGAGCACGTAATGTTGGCACCAGAACTTGCGTAGACAAATGTGGAGAAATAGCCTAGGAGAAATATGGAAACATGTCGAATGACTATAAATTTAGTATTATACATTTTTGCGTTGATCAAACGTTGCGTATACGGATAATAATAAAACAGCATTTAAATGATTTATGATATCACTATTTATGTTCGGCGTGGTCTAGTCGGTAAAGCTCATGGTTGCTAAACCGAAAAGTCTCGAGTTCGAACCCTCGGGCAGATGAGGCTCGTTAGCTGGGGACAGCCACTCTTCTAGGAGAAACTCCAAAATTAAACAACTGCTGCCTTGTAGTTTGTTCTTGGTTGGACAAAGGCTATGGAAGCAAATCCAAAAAGAAAAGCAGGCTGAAATCGGAGTCAATGGCCTCAATGGCGCATAACCAGTTGACACGTAACGCTTAATTGTGTTGGAGGCGTGGTCGAGTCGGCAAAAAGCTCATGGTTGATAAATTCGAACAAAGTCTCGAGTTCAAACCCACTGGCAGATAAATCTCGATCCCCTTCAACACTAATAATTAAGAACGAAGAAGAAGAAGAAAGAGACTATTTATGTGAAATGCAATACTTTTAAGAACAAGAACAGTCTTTAATTGCTTTTAAACAAATTGTAATTTTGTAAACGTTATTAAAGAATCTAAAACCTCAACTTTATTTAGTGTTCTTCTTGTGCTGTGGTTGATTGTAGTATTAACATTTACTGGCCATCGTCAGGAAAACACCACCAAAAAACAACAACAGTAACAACAAAAAACAACAGGAAAAACAAAAACACCACACTGGAAATTAGACAAATGAGCTACTCCAGATACATACAATTGTTAGGACACTTAGGCAGGTGATAGTTGAGTCTAGGTAATTTACTAGTAGCACTAATAAAATCTTAACACTATCATTGACATTAAACCCCGGCATAGTTAAGGGTATATTTGTTTTTTTTAATTACATTTTTTTTCATTCAAAACCGCATTCACGGTAAATGAATAACCATGTCAATGACGTGTTTCCCTACAACTAACCTCAATAACCTTACGACAAACACACTGAGTTGATTCGCTTTGTTTTTCTGTAGTCGAGTAATTGTTCAGCCAAGCATGCATCCATCTGGAGGAAAACAAACAATCTAATAATACATATATTACTTTAAAAGAGCTTCAAACGAGGTACTTTGTCTGTGTACTATATTGATTGGTTTCTACGTTTTTAAAGCAATGTAAATTATAACAAGTTGCGTGGGATGTATGTTAAATAGAATGCATTTTCTTGACGTGTGGATGGCGGGTGGACAAGTGAGATAATCATATGTTGGTCAGACAGAAAAAGATAATCGCAAAAACATCGATCTATCGACTTGCAAGAAAAAAAGGTAACACGAGATATCATTAATGTATTAATACATTAGAACAAATTAATATATAATTTAAAGACTGCGAAATGGAAACATAATCTAAAACAGATTATAAAACAGTTAAAATCCGACCATAATTTTGTTATCCTTCTGCAGAAAATAGTTAATCGTTTTTTATATATATAATTGAGTTTAGTGGTTAAAAAAGTGAGCATTTTTAAAAATAATATGTTGCTGAACTAAATAGTAATAACGCGTTTTAAAAATTGAGCCACCTTACATGAATGTAAGTACATTATGACAGAAAGAAGTGTTATTAAGCCAATGATGAAAACTGTAATACTAAAGCGAACATAACAAGGCAAACTGAAGCTGTAAATTACATGTCTAAGAACACATTAAAAAAATAATAATTGGATATTTATAAAAAGTAACAGCATTAAAACAAACTTGTTTGACGACCAAGCCTGATGATTAAGCGCTAGTCTGCTAACCCTAAAGTCTCGAGTTCGAAACCGGGTTCAACTGTTGCATTTTTTTGAGGTAGTCATTAAAGCAGATTAATTCTACTTCATCTGTTTCGTGTGTTTTGGGCACAAACGGAAAAATATGATGATGATGTATACGAGATTATCTATGAGTCGCAGTAATTGTTTTAGTTATATCAATTTTTGCGGGGAAAAAATGTAAAGTTATATTCTGTTTTTTTTTTTATTTACAGAAAATTCACATTATTTAAAACACCAAACTAGAAACATACAAAACACAAACCAGTATGGGCCGTCTCTTCTATGTCAAATACTATTTTACTTCAGTTATTGCTATAACAATATTTTTCCTTTACGCAAGTCACATAAGCTTGATAAATCGTCTCAAGAATCTTACAAAACTTAAACAATTTCAAGACAACCCATTTTCAAGCTACGCATTCACTATTGTTACCGAACCATCACAAAACTTTAAAAAAAGAACCTCAGGTCTGGAAGACTTAAGACGCCTACAAGAAATTACAGATTCCATCAAGGTACACAATTTTGACTGTTTTAAGTTGTTTCAAAATGATACAACCTATTTAAAAGAAGTAAAAAAACGGAGAGAAAACATAACCTCGAAAATTTCCGATGATTATTATTTAAACGTGACAACGGATTGTCACGATTTTCAGATGTCACGTGGTTACATCATGTCGTCCTTGACCCTAGAGGAAGAAGAGTTCCCCATCGCTTACACCATCATGGCGTACAAAGACTCGGAGATGGTTGAGAGGCTACTGCGGGCTATCTACAGGCCACAGAACTATTACTGTATTCACGTGGACTTGAAATCTGAAGAAAGTTTTTATTCAGCTATTTCAGCCATATCGCAATGTTTTCACAACGTGTTTTTGACGACTAGAAGAATCAGCGTCAGATGGGGTCGTTTCTCTGTTCTAGAACCCGAGCTAATCTGTATGAAAGAACTCTCTCGCTACAAGAAATGGAAATATTTTATCAACCTCACTGGGCAGGAGTTTCCTTTGAAAACAAATTATCAGATTGTCAAAATACTGAAAGCGTTCAGAGGTGCTAACAGTATTAATGGAACTATAAAATAGTAAGTTACTTAATTGTTTTAACATTATCACCCATTGCTTGAGTAAATGTTCTTGTAAACACGGCTGATAAACGTCAAATCAGATTTTTTTTATATGTCGTGACAGTAACAACAGGTTAACTCTTGCCTTGACCTTTTGAGAAACACTTGGCATATGATCAGGTAGTCCTAAGCTCTTGCCTTGACCGTTTCCTAAACATAGGGCATTCGACAAAAGACAACAATGGGGAGATGTTTTCAGATACTAATTCTGATTTGTATATTCCATACTATGGGGATAGAATTATGTTAAATTTGCGTATTGATTTAAACATTTGCTTCGTTTGATTTTACAAGCAGTTTATAAAAAAAAAACCTCACAATGATCTGTACACAAAAGAGTAAATGCATGCCATTTTGTGTTCGCTGGAAGGCACAATTGATTTTTTCTTATTCTGCTAACTAGACAAAGGGATGAACACTAGCCCAAACATGATGCTAGGGTTCGAAATGAGTCCTTATTAGATGTTTGGGAGCAAAGTTAGTCCATAACAGAAATTAGGGTATCAACTAAAGTACAAAAATATGTACGATCAGAAACCTCGTGAATAACGTTTTGTCGAATACTCTTTTTGGGTTTTTATAGGTCTACCAAATTTTGATAACTTGGGTAGTGAAAAACAAAATAGTCATTAATTCGAAATAACACGTGCGTATAGTAATTATTTTCAATCATACATTAAAAAAGGAAATTCTTATACGCCATTAGTGTATGGCATCAGGCCCTATAGTACAACACTTAAAGAGATATATTCTGTACCAATCGTTGTCCAAACAGAATGTCTTCACCTTCCGATTTGTTCTTTAACAGTGTCTACAGGTCGCGATGGAGAGGCAAAACTCCGCCGACAGGAATTCGTTTATTGAAAGGATCTGTTCATATCGCAGCCAACAGGTTAGTCTTACTAATACAATATACGTTTAGCATTGTTAACAAAAAACACAAATTAATGTAGACTTAGAGTTAGTATAGATTGTAATTAAACATTTATACACTTATACATATTATTATATATACAAAATGCTCTTTTATATATTTAACATGGATCCATTTGCGAGTAAATGAAATAGTGAAATACATCAAAAGTTTTTAGCACAATTTCCATTCTGGAGAATTGCGTTTATTAACCCGTCATTTCTGGATGTATGAATGGATGGATGTGTGTCCGCAGCTTTAAGTCGTATCTCCTCCTCAACGAAGCAATATCGATGACTAGTTTTTTTAAAAATCTAAAAAAAAAAACAACAACGCAGAGCATCTTTCTAACATTATTTTTTTTCACGATCCACTCGCACATCCCAACATAAATGTCAAATAACATTAAAGTAAAATATAATAATGATACAGATATCCCATCTTTGTAGTTGCAAGACTACTAAAGGTACTTGAATTACAAAATAGTAAATGCTATAATATATACTTTTGTTTTCTCGTGATTCGCTCAAGAGATTTTGTGAACTACATACTTCACAACGAGACTGCTCAAGAATTTCTGAAATGGACCAAAGGTACATCGGTTCCTGACGAAACATTTTTTTCTTCACTGAACTATAACCCACAGCTGGTGATAAAGGGCACTTACACAGGTAAACAGCCCACTGTAATTCACGTTTTTTTGGGTAACATTATGCCGAGTTATCTTCTTTACACAAAACGACATTAAGAAATGATACATACACACATAATTATTCCTATTATAAATACTGACTTACGTCGTTGAGAAAAATCCTCATCTGAAAACTAAATGAGTACTCGAAATACGTTTTTGTACAGCTTATATAAAACATCAACAAACTGACGTGAGTTATTTCTAATGATCAGGTGACCCTGATGACGTGCATGAGTTCATCGCCAGGTACAAGATTTGGTGGTACATGTCAAGAAAACGGTGTGATGGGAGATATGTTAGAGGTGTCTGTATACTTAGTACAGGTAGAATATATATATGTTAGAGGTGTCTGTATACTTAGTACAGGTAGGCGACTTGATGATATCGGGGTTTGTATAGTTAGTACATTATGTAGAATATGTATGTATTGGTTATCTGTATACATAGTACAGGTAAATTATATATTAGTTACAGGTGTCTGTATATTTAGTACAGGTAAAATATATATTAGTTAGAGGTGTCTGTATACTTAGAACAGGTAAAATATATATTAGTTAGAGGCGGAGTTTCTTCCAGGCATCACTTCGGGTGGCTCCGCCCCTCCCCCTCGAAGAAAGTCTACCACCCCCCCCCTAACGAAAAGGAATTTATATAGAAAATATATACCTTTTACAGTGTCCGCCCCCCCCCCCCCCCCCGAAAATTTCAAGTACCCTCCCGGAGAAAAAGTCTGGAAGAAACACTCGTTAGAGTTACCTGTATACTTAGTAAAGGTGGAATATATTTGTCAGAGGTGTCAGTACAGATAGTCCACCTATTATAACATGTGTCCGTAGACTAAAAACAGGTCGACTACTGGTTTTTACAGGTGTTTGTATAATTAGTACAGGTAGGTTACTTGATGGTTAGAGAATGGCTTAGAATGTCATGTTTATTCAACACAGACATAACCAACACACACACACACACACACACACTACCAATCACACAGACACAAACCTCAATCACACATACGCTCCAAATCAGACACACACACAGTTATTTTCTTTACATTCCTTGTCTACAGGGGATCTACCCAGGCTCGGCCAAGCCAAAGAATTATTCGCCAACAAATTTTACCTACACGAAGACAGGCTTGTGATTGGTTGTCTGGAGGAGAAGATCTTCAACGACACGCGCGATGTGTACATGGGGGTCAAGGTCGTCAACACCAGCTTTTATGAACGTTTGAATTTTGTGAGATCCCAGGTGGAATAAAGTACCTTGGGGAGGGGGTGGGGCAGTGGCTTCAACACCAGCTTTTATGAACGTTTGAATTTTGTTCAAGAGCGTAACGGGGGGGGGGGGGGGGGGGGGGGGGGGGCGGGGGTACATATGTCACCGTGCGCCGAATCTAGGGGGCGTCAAAGTGGGTTTGAAAAAAATTAAAAGCTCATTTTAGCTGCAGTTTTGCATTATTAATATAAAAATATATGGGGGGGGGGCGCCAAATTGAAAGTTTATTCCTAGGGGGGGGGGGGGCGCCAAATTGAAAGTTTGTCACGAGAGTGGGGGGGGGGGGGGGGAAATTGAATGTTTGTCACCGGGTGCCGGGAAGGGTCGCTACGCCTCTGCCTGGGGTGGTGGTCAAGGATTTCAACACCAGCTTTTATGAACGTTTGAATTTTGTTCTACATCAGGTGGAATAAAGTATTTGGGGACCAGGGACATCTACACCAGAATTTATGAACATTTGACTTAAAGTTCATTAATATTTATGTTTTTCATCATATTTTCATCAAATGTATTTCATCCTATGTATTAATGACTGACAACTAAATATTGAACACTCTGAAGGAATTACATTAAACATGTTTTAATTAAATTGTTTTTGTTCCGCGTCTAGTTTTAAGTTTGTCATCACAATTAGCAAACATCCACTTTCAGATCAGTAATCAGAAAGTAGATTGTGTTCGCTAAATTTGAGTTATCACATGACACAAGCTTCTGTCACATTGACACAGTTCTGCAGTAACAACATTACATGGGATGTAGTACAACAATCTTTCTTAGCATGGTTTTCTCCCCTGTATGTTTCAAAATAATACACAGGCCTATTCCTCTACTTAAACGGTCTCTGCCAGTCAAACTACCATGACACTCTCTTGAAGGGATTGACTTGCTTAAGAAAAGGCTAAGGCTAACTGTTATGGTCAATGGTTTGTCGGCTTTATTCTGGTTTAAGAATAACTTAATTTAAAAAAAAATATATAAGATGTTCTGTTTGTGTCGAATAAAACTCTTTGTAGACCTTCGGACAGCTGTTGCATCGATCATTGTTTAGGGGGCAATGAAGATGCGTGTGCCTATATGCCTAACGCATGTCTACCTATTATGACTGTGTCTAAGACTGTAGGTATATATGTCTATTTATATGCATGTGGTTTGACTATATCTCTTTATCTCTCTGTGTCTATTCCTTTATCTATTTTTATATCAATGGCCAAGAGCATTCCTGTGGCAAACTGAATGTCCTACAAATCTATTTGTTGTGCTCCTTTCTTTGTTTAAAACATTCTGTATAAGTCTTTGTTTATAAATGTACTCTTGGGATCGATCGATCTATATATAATTCTCTTCATGGAAGGACCATGCGGAACACCACGTGTACACACGCCGCTCCTCCCCCTCCCTCACTCTCCAGGCATGCTCAGCAGACCATATCGCTACCATCCCACCCCCACCAGTCTGGTGAGCTGTCGCTAACGCCGAATATTTACTACTGTAGAACCGGGACGAAATATTGACGGCTATTGTGGGCAGATAATTTAGTTTTTAAACGGTTTGAAAATAAGGGGAGGTAATAACACGTTTTGCTTGATCTTTTCATTATCGTGTGTACACTGTCGTCACGGACGGATGCTTTCATGGAGTTCTGGGGGAGGAGGTTGATGATAATCGTCCTTCACGAGCTACTGATATTGTATAAAAGCAAAATATTTTCAGTCGCAGCATTGGTAGTGTTGAATTCACAAATTATCAATTACTAAAACATAGAAAAATAGTAACTAAATCACGGCGTATGCATACGGCGCGGGTCAGCTCGTAGTATTATATTGGGATAAGGTACTTGATGCGCCGTTGCATTAACCTAAGAGATTATGTAGTAAAGGTAGTATTGTGGTAGGTTGTAAAGCGCACAAATGTTATTCAGCGTGTTTTACAAGTAATTAATCTACTATAGGTAAAATACATGTGTTGGGTACATTACTGAAAAAGTTATCCCATTTTACGTAGAGGGCACAGAATTAGGTATCTTACTACATTATCTGCCCAATGGACCGCCATGTACGAAATCTATATATATAATTCT